CAGTTAACTCCGGTTGTAGCTAGGTTGCTACCTCCGTTAGCTTAGCTCCCACCTCTGCGTTAGCTTTGGGTTAGCTTCAGGTTAGCTTGTAGCTAGTTCGACCGGGTGTCGTCAGTTGATCCCAGCCTTACAGCCCCACCCCCAGCTCCACCTCTCTTCCCTTTTGTGGAATTGTCTGGGCTTGACGGAACCTGTGACACGGTCAAAATGGCGGTGGTGGCCACCTCCCATTTTAGCTCAAAAACATGTTATTGGAGTCTATGGAAACCCATTGTCCAATATTTATATGTGGATGCTCGCAACGCTCTGTGACTCTTAAAAAAACAGTAAAAACGCTGAAAAACGCTAGCAGGGAAGGGCTTTTCTGATCAGGAAATGGCTGGCAGTGAATGAGTTAAACTATAAAAAAATAGGAAAAGCATTGTGATCAAAAGATGTGAGGAAAGGGGGAAAAGATAATGAACAAGAAAAGGCAATCAGTGGACCCTGGAAAAAGAAAATTGGCAGAAAGAGCAGAACGAAGCTAACGCAGCTGTTTGCTAGCCATCCAAATTAAGTGCCTTCTGCCTAGGGGGCGGGCATCTAACCTATAAGGACCCACCCAACTGGCCAAATGGGTAAAGAGCTCTATTTGATTTGTCAAAAACATCATGCTTCCATTTGACTGAAGAAATGCATTATGTGTAGCAAGCATTTGAGTTGACCATTCATTGCGTTTTTTTCTGTTCTTTGCGATATGCATATTGCGCATGGCTAGGGCTGTAGCGAAGCCTCGACGAAGTCGACGGCTCGATTCTAAAAATTTGTCGACGTCAGATCCGGTAGTCGACGCACCGCGCCCACTTGTTGCATCCCCAGGAGTTTGTAAATAGAGGAGGAATCTGCCTGTTTTTCCTCTAGTTCGCCCTCTTCTCCGCCTTCACTAACATCTCCGCCAAATACCGAAGACCCGGAACAACGTCCGTCCACTACTAGATTATTTTCCTGTTTTGCCCCTTCGTCTCCCGGCAACGGACAACAACTTCCGGGGTCAGATGCGCTGCTTCGTGTCCATCGCAGATGTAGAAAATCACCGGGAGCGCTTCTCCCTTCATTAAGGAGCTTCTTTCAGACATTAGGAGAGCTGTTTTGGTGGTAGCAGTCTCTTCTCCGTGCTGGTCTGTTTGCTGCTGGGTGTTTTTGGTTTATTTAAACTTGGTAACTTGAACTTAATGTTGGTAAAGCTACTGTTAGCATCTTCGCTAACAGCTTCTTGCGTTGGGATAAGCTGTTACGTTTTGGTTTAGAGTTCATCTTTTTTTGTGGTGTAGATCTCCCTTTTATTACATTTAGAGTGTTATGGGTTTTCGGTTTAGTGTAAAATATCACCTGAGTTTGGTTTAACCCGTAAGACCACTCGCCTCACGCACATAAGTGACCAAAACAAAGCAGCATGGAGACACTCCATCTTCTACCACCTCTCAGGCAGCAGCCTGCACTCCCAAGTTCTACACGTCACCAGAACATAACCAACCGCAACACAATAAAAGCAGTGTTATACAAAATGGAAGGCCTGTAGTGTTTATTCTCTTACAGTAACAATTTATCCATTTTTTTGAGGAATTTATTTGAGATTTTCTGGTTTTTGTTAATTGTGCAATAGAAAAATAATCATTAGATTAATTTTCTAAATAGTCATTAGAATAGTCGACTATTCGATAAAATAATCGTCAGAATAATCGTTTTAAAAATAATCGTTTACCCCCAGCCCTACGCATGGCGATGTTGAAATGGCGATACATTTGCGATGTATTGTGCAGCCCTAATCCTCAGTTCCCAGCTAGAGATGATTTTAACATCAGTCCTTCCAGGATGTTTCTGATTTATGTTGGAAAAAAAGACAATGTCATGTATACAACACATTAAAAAGGTGGGCCAATATTCTAACAACTAATACTGCCATCTGACAGCATAAAGTTTCTCAAAATGATAAAAGCAAAGCCATTTTGTGATGTGAATAGGGCTGCTCACTTAATCGAATTTTAATCACGATTACGATCTGAGTTTTGAACGATTATAAAAAACAAAACAAGCCGATTATTAGCTCCTCCCGCTTGCGCTGCCCTGAGTTGCAAATGAAGCGCTCCTCCCACAGTGTTGCCAACTTAGTGACTTTGACGCTATTTCTAGCAGCTTTTCAGACCCCCTTCTTGACTTTTTAACTTAAAAATACCTAGCAAAAACCTCAGAAACATCTCCGGTAACCCTTAGCTACTTTCTGGATAACTGTCGTCGACATTTCCTGCAGGTTAGCTAAACACTCCGCCTGTACTCCGGACCGTTCTTCAGGACATTAGGAAAGGGAATGATGTAGTGATGTGTCGGTCGCTAAAGACAGCTCTCGGAGTCGGCTCCCTGTTGGAGTAACCAGAGTGAGTGACACACACACCGCACCTGCGGACTCCTGAGCCACTAAAAACGGCTAAATGTGCGCGTGCGGCGCGCTAAACACACGTGCAGCTTGCCCCTGATTGCTGAGACCGGGTTGGGGGGTGGGGGGTGCAGCTGTGGTTGGGACAATTATTACATTAACTGATGGACTTGTAAATAAATACTTTACAAATAAGGTAGAAATAAGTTCCTCACGCTGATAAATAATAACTAATCTCCCCGAGGACACGGTGCTAGTGCACGCTCCTACAGCACCTTGACATGACTAAATAAATGTTATGCAACATTTTGTGAACATCAATTTATTTGCATTTATTTGTTATAAATGCCACTGTATAATTCTTGCTGTCAGTATTTGCAAGATATTGGTATTTGGGTCTGTACTGGTTAGACTTCAATGAGTTAAACCAAGGTCTATAGCCCTTGGGTCATAGACTATGAGCTATAAGTATATTGGTCTTTTTATACTGGGAATCAGGAGTTATTTTAGTGATCATTTTGTTTCTTATTTTTGTCCTGATTGTGCCCTGAGCAATTTTATGACTGAATAAAAACAAACAAAATCAACATAAATTGAAAAATCGTCCTAAATAATCGTGATCTCAATTTCAGTCAGCATAATCGTGATTCTTATTTTTGCCATAATCGAGCAGCCCTAGATGTGAATGCACTTAACATTCATACATAATGAATGTTAGGCTATACAAGTTAACTGTCTCTAAGGAGTAAAAAAAGCAAATACTGACAGTATAGATAAATGCTAAAATGGAATGTGCTTACATTGCCTTTTAGGTATGAGATTACCTTTGTGCTGATGAGGCATCCATTATGTACATCTGCTTCTGATAAAGTATAAGATCTAAGTGATAGCAACTGTCTACAGACCTAATTGTGACTAGCAAAGGATCAGTTTTACCCAAAATCAGACTTTTCACAAACTGAAGAGGTGAAGAACTCTTGGATGATTTTTTTCACTGAGGTCATTTCTCAAGCTGTCAATTTCCATGAACAAGATCTCTCTCAACACAAATGTCTTCATCGCACTGGAGTCTGGGACTATGAGGCTGTTACTTGACCAGACTGGAGTCTATGGCCAGAGAGGAAGAAAGTAAATGTGCCGTGATATACTAGACTGTGAGTGGTTTCTTGGCATCAGAAAGACCACACTTATCTGTACATACCTGCTCCCTTTGTCCGGGAGCCTGTTTGCAATCAATTTGTTTTCCTGGCATCAAATGTTGAAATACAATGAGATTTAGTGAATAAAATACTTCCCATATGATAAATAGTTTGGAGGCATTCTAAATTTCAATGGAAATAATCATAAAAAGGACCCATAGTCCCACAGAACACACAGTGATTAAATATCAATGAAATAAAAAAAACTGAACCATTTTTTTAAGAAAACACATTTATAATTTCCATAGTCTGTTCAGACACCCATCAGCTATTTATCCATCTAGCAATCTTGACACAAACATATATTTTTCCTCTATACTTGCAGTTAACAGTGCATCTTACCATGCATCTGTTTTTGAAAAATAAAAATAAAAACGTTTTGCCCATACACTCACAGTAGCTGGAGACTAAAACAGAATGGCAAAGTACAGGATTTCACGTAAGGGTGCCAACACAAACACACCACTGATGCTGCTGCCATTTCTGGAACACACCGTCACACAAATGCACTGCCAACTGCACAGCCAATTACACCAACAACCCAATAAAACATACCCACAGCAATGCAATGAAACAAGTTAAATCCTACTCTGATGTTTCAAAAACACAGGATAGATACAGAACACAAACAGGAATCCTCACCTTCAATAAATAAAATGTCACCAGACTCCAACACAGATTCCAGATTCACATTGAAATTCTTGACTGAATTTTTTTAGACAATTTATAGAACATTTTAGGGCCATGTTTGATGTCTATGTCCAAACATAAATTGTACATTTTAAATGGTTTTCAAATCTAAGAGTCAACGAGAACTGAACATTTAAAAAAATACAGCCATTTTTGACAACTTTCTGATAAACGACTGTTTAGTAGTTAGTTCTGTGCACTGTACACAAATAAAATGGGACCATAAAAAGCTACACAATGTTGAATCCTTGTAATCTATTAAGTTCTCAGTGCCATCAATCCAAAACACAAAACAAACCAAAAAAGCCTTTAAAAAACACTTTACATATTTAGCCAGGCCAGGAAAATACTACAGACAAATTACACACTTTTAAAACGTGTCCGTGGAAACCTGAGGGATGTTCGTTAGTTTTAAGCGGTGGATTACAAGACTGTGGTGACGTTAGGAGAAACACAAACATCGATAAACCGTTCAACGTGTAGGACTCGGACATGTTTACGTAAACAATAACAGAAAGTATTACGCGGATAACTCCTACTGGCAAAATAAATATGGTTGTAAACCATAATCTGTCTAACACTGGAGTCAGTAACAAAGACTACTAGCTGGCGAAGTTGTTCACACTGCCGACGGTTACAAGTTAGCTGGTAACTAGCCAGTGTCGAAATAATTAATAATGAAAGCATTAGGCGTTACTTACGTTGTAGAAAATGTAGTCTCAATTTGTCCCCCTATGGCTTATTGCTGATATGCCAAAGCTCACAGACTGGATGATGTTGAGTTAACTCTAGTTACTGTTAGCCACTTTTCGATTCTCGGCCCCTGCTCGATGACTATGCTAGCCAGCATTTCACACGGGAAGTTCTCCTTTCAGCATGTCCCTGCATCTGAATAAGGGTTTTATATACATGTTCCTTACAGTAAATAAAATGAGCATACATTACTAAATCTAATTTAAACAGTAGGTTGAAAGAAAAAACCCTCAATGTGACAGAATGTGTCCATGATTTCAACACCAAGCTAATTTCTGGCTAAAGCTAAATGTTCGAAGCAGATGACGTTTCTTCATGGTTCTCAGTTTGGGGGCGGGGAAAGTCTACAAGTAAAGCCCATGATTGGACAAAAGCAGCGCAGAGCTAAAAGACGATTAGTCCATTTACATGTCACTCACAACTTACCTCCGAGATGGAGATACGGTAATACGTAATGTAATGGACCCTTAGAAGAATGAGTGACATTTTAGTCACATTTTAGTCATTTACTCAATTTCAGTTCAAATTTATTAAATAGGTGTTACAAATTAATTGATGTTAAGTGTTAAACAATAATATAATACAATATTAATATATATTTCTTAAAAATGTATATCTCAGTGTAACATAATATAATGTAAAGTTCTATAATATAATATAACATACGATATCTATCCATCCATCCATTTTCATCCGCTTTTCCGGAGTCGGGTCACGGGGGAAGTAGCCTAAGGCGAGAGGCCCAGACTTCCCTCTCCCCAGCCACTTGGGCCAGCTCCTCCAGGGGAATCCTAAGGCGTTCCCTGGCCAGGTGAGAGAAATAGTCCCTCCACCGTGTCCTGGCTCTACCTTTAGGTCTCCTCCCGTTGGACGTGCCTGAACAAACCTCACCAGGGAGGCATCCAGGAGGCATTCTGAGCCATCTCAATTAGCTCCTCTCAATGTTGAGGAGCAGCAGGTCTACTCCAAGCCCCTCCCGAATGGCCGGGCTTCTCACCCTATCTCTAAGGGAGACCCCAGCCACTATTTGGAGAAAACTCATTTTGGCCGCTTGTATCCGCGATCTCGTTCTTTCGGTCACTACCCAAAGCTCATGACCATAGGTGAGGGTAGGAAAGTAGATCGACCGGTAAATCGAGAGCTTCGCCTTCTGACTCAGCTCTCTCTTCACCACGACAGACCAGTACAACTCCCGCATCACTGCAGATGCAGCACCAATCTGCCTATCTCACGCTCCCGTTTTCCCTCACTTGTGAACAAGACCCCGAGATACTTAAACTCCTCCACTTGGGGCAGGACCTCATCCCTGACCCTCTACTCTTTTCCGAATCAAGACCATGGTCTCAGATTGAGAGGAGCTGATTCTCATCCTAGCTGCTTCACACTCGGCTGCGAACCGCTCCAGCGAAAGCTGAAGATCACGTTCTGATGAAGCCAACAGGACCACATCATCTGCAAAAAGCAGAGACCTGATCCTCAGGCCACTAAAACGGATGCCCTCCACACCTTGGCTGCACCTGGAAATCCTGTCCATAAAGGTTATGAACAGAATCTGTGACAAAGGGCAGCCTTGGCGGAATCCAGCTCTCACTGGGAACGAGCCTGACTTACTGCCGGCAATGCGGACCAAGCTCTGACACCGGTCATACAGGGACCTAACAGCCCGTATCAGAGGGCCTGGTACCCCATACTCTCGGTGTACTCCCCACAGGGCCCCCCGAGGGACGCGGTCAAACGCCTTCTCCAAATCCACAAAACACATGTAGATTGGTTGGGTAAATTCCCACGCACCCTCCAGGATCCCCCTAAGCTTATAGAGTTGGTTCAGTGTTCCACGGCCAGGACGAAAACCACATTGCTCCTCCTGAACCTGAGGTTCAACAATCTGATGGACCCTCCTCTCCAGAACCCCTGAATAGACCTTACCAGGAAGGCCCAGGAGTGTGATCCCCCTGTAGTTGGAACACATCCTGCGGTCCCCCTTTTTAAATAAGGGGACCACCACCCCGGTCTACCAGTCAAGTGGGACTGCCCCCGATGTCCATGTGATATTGCAGTCAGCCAACACAGCCCCACAACATCCAGAGCCTTAAAGAACTCCGGGCAGATCTCATCCACCCCCAGAGCCTTGCCACAGAGGAGCTTTTTAACCACCTCAGTGACCTCAGCACCAGAGATTTGAGAGGCCAACCCAAAGTCCCCAGACTATTGCTTACTCACTGGAAAACATGTTGGTGGGATTGAGGAGGTCTTCGAAGTATTCTGCCCACCGATCCACAACTTCCTGAGTAGAGGTCAGCAGCACACCGTCCCCACTATAGATAGTGTTGGTAGCGCACTGCCCCCCCCCCCCCACACACACACACACACACACACACTCACATACCACCACCGAGGCACCGGATGGTGGACCAGAAACTCCTCAAAGCCGTATGGAAGTCTTGCTCCATGGTCTCACCGAACTCCTCCCATGCCTGGGTTTTTGCCTTGGAGACCATCCCAGCCGCTTTCCGCTTGGACTGCTGGTAGCCATCAGCTGCCTCTGGAGTCCCACAGGCCAAAAAGACCTGATAGGACTCTTTCTTCAGCTTGACAGCATCCCTAACCGCCGGTGTCCACCAGCGGGTTCGGGGATTGCCACCATGACAGGCACTGACGATCCTGCGACCACAGCTCCGGTCGGCCGCCTCAACAATGGAGGCACGGAACAGGGTCCATTCAGACTCAGTGTCCCCCGCCTCCACCGGAACATTTTGGAAGTTCTGTCGGAGGTGGGAATTGAAGCTTCTTCTGACGGGAGACTGCCAGACATTCCCAGCAGACCCTTGTGATATGTTTGGGCCTGCCTGGTCTGACCGGCATACTCCCCCACCATCCGAGCCAACTCACCATCAGGTAGTGGTCAGTTGACAGCTCCGCCCCTCCCTTCACCCGAGTGTCCAAGACATGCGGCCGCAGGTCAGATGAAATAACAACAAAGTTGACCATCGAGCTCCGGCCTAATGTATCCTGGTGCCAAGAGCACATATGGACATTTATGGACACCTTTATGTCTGAACTTGGTGTTCATTATGGACAATCCATGACTGACACAGAAGTCCAATAACAAAACACCAATCAAATTCAGATCAGGAGGGCCGTCCCTTCCAATCACACCTCTCCAGGTCTCACTGTCATTGCCCACGTGAGCGTTAAAGTCCCCCAGCAGAATGAGGGAGTCAGCACCCCCTCCAAGGTCTCCAAAAAGGGTGGGTAGTCTGAACTGTAGTTTGGTGCATAAGCACAGACAACAGTCAGAACCCGTCCCCCCACATGTACGCGGAAGGAGGCTACCCTCTCATTCACTGGGGTAAACACCAATGTACAGGCACCAAGATCGGGGGCAACTAGTATGCCCACCCCTGCTTGTTGCCTCTCAGTGGTAGCAACTCCAGAGTGGTAGAAAGTCCATCCCCTCTCAAGGAAACTGGTTCCAGAGCCATGCGTTGACGTGAGTCTGACTATATCTAGTCGGAACCTCTCAACCTCCCACACCAATTCAGGCTCCTTCCCCACCAGAGAGGTGTAAAGAAATTTGGCTGGCTCAGCCATATTTGTAAAGAAAAAATTGACTGGCTCAGTTATATTGTAAGGAGAAACTGTCTTTACTCAGTTATATTGTTAAGAAGACTCAAAGGTTGTTTTCATCGATAAACTGACGATAATATCTGTGTGTCTGTGTTTCAGTTCAATGAGGAAACCAGTTTGACAATTAAAAGTTTTAATTCTTCAAATTAAACTAATGATTTTGAAAATTGACAAACAGGAAATAACAATCAACATTGGCAACTTTGTGGGACAATCTTTAACAGTTGATATGCTGTTCTTGCTCAAATAGACCTTCTGTTGGTGAATGAAGATTGAGAGTAATAGGATGTGGTTGTGAATGCGTGTGTGCATCTGATTTTGCTTCAGGAAGAACAGGTGTCTGAGTGAAGTGATGGTTTGGATAAACTTAGGTCTTATCAGAGAACTGCATCAAACGCTAAACACCATGCTCTGTCTCACCGAACTCTTGTGGACCCTCTTTCGGATCCGGGCCGTGGAGGAAGTTGTGGTTCATCCAGATGACACTGGCGGCTGACAGGGGAGACGTAGGTGTCGAACGGAACCGGTCCAGAGTTGCCCTCGGTACACGTGGATGGTAGAGCGTTTTGTCGATGCGCTTTCTTAAGTTAATTCACTCAGAAATCAAAAGACTCGGTAATGAGTCTGCGTTAGAAGTCGTGATTCAGCTATTCTGTCTGGCTGACAGGAACAGCGTGAAAGGGGGGAAGAACGAGCCAACCGGCTCTGCCCCCCCTTTGGTTTTCAGGTCCACTCTCTTTCGTTGTCCAACACGAACTGCAATCAAGAGACTGAAACTTACCAAAAGCCTTTCTCTTCTCAAAGCAAACGTGTGCGTCAGCAAATGTGTTTTGGAGTTTAACTGTGAGAATCTGTGTGTGGGTGTGTGTGCTTGAGTGTGTGTGAAGGTCAGCAACAAACACTCTCAACATTATCTAATTATGGATTCATTAAATCTCTTATAATTACCCCAAAGCATAATAGTCATTCATTTGATTAAAACACATTTATAATGAGCAAATTGATGATTAAACTTTTAACATTCAAAACAAGAAAAGGAAGTTTAAACTTTATGTTTTGACTTGTTATGACTACTTGTCCATGAGAACTCCTTCTTCTGGTACCGCAGGTGGCAGATGTTATGGTTTCCTCCCAGACTCGCTGGCGTTCAGGTCTTAATCTGTGGGTGAAAGTTCTCAATGACCCAGCTTTGACCCAGCTGAGTCCAACACCACCTTTGTGACAGAAAACCCATATTTCCTCACGTTACAGAGGTGACATTCCATGTGCCAAGAGCCAGCTTCTGTAGCCGAGGATCAGACCGCCAAGGTCCCCGCCCTCGACTACCACTCATCACACACTGCACCCGACCCCTTTGGTCCCTCCCACGAGTGGTGAGCCCATGGGAAAGGGGACCCAAGGTTCCTCTTCAGGCTGTGCCCGGTCGGGCTCCATGGGTGAAAGCCCGGCCACCAGGCGCTCGCCAGCGTGCCCCATCTCCAGGCCTGGCTCCAGAGGGGGGCCCTGGTAAGAGGTTTTCGAGCTGCTCTTTGTCTGATCCCTCACCTAGGACCTGTTTGCTGTCAGGTTCGTTGGCAGATCTGCGTGATTGAGAGTTCTGTTGCCCAGACGCGGAGAGACGGAGATAACCGGCGTGGTTATTTCCTGTAGGTGTAGCTTGAGGGTTTAGAGGGCTGGTAAGCCTGG